AACCCGGCAACTGGCCTTCTCCCTTGCAGCTGAGCAGGCTTGTGCACAAAAGCCATGCTGAATCTGTAGCAGGATTATTGCAGCCCTCTCCTTCCCTCATCCTCCCAAATTCATCCATCCCAAATTTTCCATCCAAAATTAATCATTAAACATAACCTTGCAGTGAGGAACAAGAAGCATCATACCAGGGTCCTGAGAAGTAGCAGTGCTCCTGCTCACCCTGCCTACCACCCCCACCACTGGGTGTACCAACAAACACTAGCCTTTTGGCTGGAGGAAAACGGGACCTGTGGAGCAGCAACATGTGGAGTGACAACAGGGTCTCAGTTCCAGCTACCTTGAATGACAACATAGGAGCACATAGGAGCTGGACAAGCATCTCCAGGTGACACCAGTGGCAGTGAAACCCAACTCTCCATCCAGCAAGTACAGTGGCCTCAGAGGCTCCCAAAGCTCCTCACTGCAGCACAGAGCTCCCTCCAGTGCCCCATCAGCCCCTCCCATCACCCCACCAAGTATCCTGCCTGCTGTACAGGTGGGGAAGGACAAAAGCCAAGACCCGAATTCCGGGGCAGCATATGGCTCCATGAAGAACCAGCCCAGAGGTCCCTGAGCAACGCCAGAGTAGAGAGCAAGCATCAGTCATGCTGAGGACACTTTCAGCAGCCTGAGATGCTGTGCACCGAGGCATGACAAACACCTGACACCCCTCCAGACTGAATATCCCCTAGGGAGGCACCAGAGAGGAAGGTAAGCCCTGGTACCCAAGACCTGCACCCTTCAGCTGCAATGAGGGGAGCAGAACCTGTTTGGCTCCTACTAAGCAGTGTTCTTGTAGCTGCTGAGGCTGGGAAGTGGCCCAAACACCGTTCAACCCCTTCAGCAACAGGGAGGAAAGCCAAGATAGGAAAATCTGTTGCAGAACAAAGAAGAGAGCAGCAAGGGGTATGGAGAAAATGGGCTGGAAGAAGCCCAGAGAGGTGCCACCACCAGTACCTGGCTGTTGGAAGATGGTGGCCCAGAGCCTACCTGACCAGGGCCAGGTGCTCTCCTGAACACGGTCCAGCCTGTGCATCACCCTTGGGAGCAAGTCATGCAGGTCCCCAGCCCACACCATGCCTGCTCAGATGCTGCCTATGGCTTCGAATCCCTTGGGTCCTGCTGTGCCAAAAAAGCTGTTGAAACACCAGTCCCAGGTGGCAAGTCCTCCGCAGGGATCTAAGAACAGACAGCTCTTCCTTTCCATGCAGCCCCAGTGGAATCACCAGTCTAGCAAGAAAGGAGCTCGTCATACTCTTGGCCAAAAGCACTGGTGGGAGAGGGGTGGTACCTGACATGGGAACAGAGGTCTCCATCACTCTTGAGACCTGCTGAAGACTTGCAGGTGCTTGTGGCTATCAGAGATGCATCTTCCCTGGAAAGCCCCATCTGCTGTTGCCCAAGCAGACAGCCCTGCCTGCCAAAGAGGGGGCAAGATCCCAGCACAGCTCTGGAAAGAGGAGCCTCCAACAGCCAGGCAGAGGTGTCAGAGATGGGTGGGCACCCCAGCTCACCCCACCATGACACAGCAGGGGGGAAGCTCAGCTCCTAAATGGTGTGATGCAGAAGAGGGTAAAAGGATCAGCCAGGGCAAGCAGGGTGTTTGTCCAGTAGCCAGCCTTGCCCAAGAGTTTGAGGGAGCTCCCACCAGCCTTCAGGGCACACACTGCCACATATCACAAACCTGTTTGCTCAGCCCCAGCCAAAGCAGCTGGGATGGCACAGAACAAGGTTCATTGACCAAGGCATGTCTTGCAGCCAGGATGGGCCCCAAATCAAGAGGAAAGTGCACCCGCAGCCCCAAGGCAAGGTGGCTGACAGGCAGGGCACTGCCCCAGCATCTTGCAGGCAGCACTGCCAGCTCCCACCCCCTGCTGGGGTCCCACCGCTCTGTGGGGGTGGGAGGGATGGAGCACAGAACAGCTTCATCTTCCCACCTACTCCATAAAACAGGCTGACAGTGTTTGTCAGGCCTAAGGTGATTTGTGCAGTGCCTTGGGCCAATTCTTTTTATAAAGATCTAATCCTGCCCAGGGTTCTGGGGAGGCACCCCAGCAGCTGCTCTGTGCCCACCTGCACTGTGCAGCCACTAGGAACCGCCCATAAACAGAGCTTCGGGGCTAAACCACCTCGGTGACACATCTTGACAGTGCTGGGGCCTCTGCCTGGGGACAGGGTACTTGTGCCCAAGAGTTGTGCCCCTGCCCTGCTGGCCCCCTGTGCTTTTTGGGATGGGGAAGGGGCTGTCTAAGAGGTGCCATAGCCAAGTGGAGCAGTCAGCCCAGGCAGGGACCAGGCTCTCCAGGGAGACTGTGCGACCACCACCAGCACTGCAGAACATCCCTCCCCTCCTATTCCAACCCTCACACAGGGACAGCACTGGAGTAGAGCCCTGGAATGTTCTGGTGTAGCAGAGGAGGGAGACTGAACCAAAGGCTTTGTGAACTCAGCTCTCGCTGACACCAAGGGGCATCAGCAGGGCACCTCAGATACACAAGCAGGCAGGGGTGTGGCAGACCACATGGACCACCCACCACCAGGGAATGCTCTTCCTCCACTGGTGACAGTAGTGAGCTGCTCCCACCCTGCTGCAGGTCCCCTGCTGCCTTGGCAGCCACTGCCCTCACAGCAAGGCAGAGACCACAGGTTCAGCCACACTGCGCTGGGATGTGGCAGCCAGGGGAGATCAGCTGGAAGAGGAGAGGAGCTTGAGGAGGTGAAGAGCACCTGGATGAAGGGGAGCCACAAAAGGAAGCCCAGCTCAGGTACAGGCTTTGCCTTCTCCCATCATCTCTTTCCTTCCAAAGGGCCAAGGGCTCTTCCCACAGTCATCTTCTGCTCTGCAGCCCCAGGAGGCCCTGTTTGGGTCTAAAGTGGTAGTACAAAGAGCCATGTTCCCCAGCGTCATGATCACACCTTGTCACCAGTTTCGAGGAGGATGGAGTAGTTCTGTTGGAAGGGACCTACAACAACCATCAGTCCAAACGACCGATGACCACCTCCTCTGAGCAAGCTCCCAAGGAACCACACCTTTCCCTTCACTGCCGCCTACCCAATCCCAGCAGCAAGCCCTTCCAGACACCCAGGAAGTAGGATACAGCATCAGCTGTGAGGGAGCTGCAGGAATACAGAGAAAGGAGAAGCTCATTGCCAGCACAGTCACTGTGCCGTGACCAAAGTGTCACCAATCTCTCACGAAGCAGGGGGACACCTGCCTTGGCACACAGCAGCAGTTGGTCTAGGGTGTGCTGGGAAGGATCGGCTTGCCAAGACTTGCTAGGGAGCTGGGACCCGCAGGTAATCAGCACAGGCTGGGTGAGCCCGCCTGGAGTGCACAGACACAGAGCAGCTCTGCTGTGCTACAGCTGCCCCATGTCCCCAGCACCAGCTCACAAGATGAAAGCAGAAATCATGAAACCTAAGACACACAGACCTGGGCTGCTGCCCCCAGCTACACCTGGGACACCGAGGCCAACAGCAAACGCAAGGTCATCCAGCACCTAAACTCTTCAGCATACAGAGACAGGAGAGGAAACCCAGTCATTCTCCTTGCTCTCCCCACAGACATGCACTCCAGGGTACAGGGTGGAGTTGACATCTCACTTGACGCACAAAATGCCTGGAGGAGGAGAGCTGGTGAGACACCAGATGGTGAGAAACTGCTCATAAAACATGAGGACCTGCCCTGTTCAGAGTCAGAGACATGTCTAGCCCTGAAGAGCCCATCACAGCAGCCTATCACAGCCCTCAGTAGGGACATGGATCCCCTCCCTACCTGCATCTGTGCCCACAAAGTCATAGAATCTCCTGAGTGGGAAGGGACCCAAAAGGATCACTGAGTCCAGCTCCTGGCCCTGCACAGGGACAACCCCAACAATCCCAACCGTGTGCCTGAAAGCATTGCCCAGATGCTCCTTAAGCTCCTTCAGGCTTGGGGCCATGACCACTGCCCTGGGGAACCTGTTCCAGTACTTGACCACCCTCTGGGGGAAGAACCTGCACCTATTGCCTCATGTGGGCAGGAGCCAAGCCCCATGGGCAGCAGGGTTCCACTGCCACATGGCCCTGTTGCCTGGGAAAGAGCCAGGACAGCAGGTGCAGCTATGGAGCTCCTCATTTCCTGTTTTTAGATGATGAAACTATGCTTCCATCTCAGTCCTGGGCAAGCATCATACTGGAGTGTTGCTCTGCCCAGGCTCACCTCATGGGTCAGAGAACAAAAGCAAAAGCAAGACCTTGTCCTCCCAGCCATCACTAGCTCCGCACTGGCCGCAGGATGCACAGTAGCAGCTCCTCACATCTGGTTTCACATGGATATCACTGTGCTGTGCTGTGGGGCCCTGGAGTAGAGAAGCCCTTCCAGCTGGAAGAGCCATGGGGCCTCTGAGAAGGCCTGGACTACAAGCCCTTAACTCTTTCAGGCATCACAGCTATTTAATCCTGCAGCTCAGACCTCTCCTGTACTTCGCTCCCAGCTGCCCAGCAGTGCCAGAGTCCCCAGGAGGTAACTCAGGCCGGCTGTGCCCAGCCTCATGAGCCCAGGGACCTGAGCCACAGCCAGCAAAACACCACAACTGGTTTGTAAACACACAGCCTTCCTCAGATCCTCCATACAAAAGATGACATGGAAACGCAGCGCATGGAAACTCAACACTAAGAGTGATATCCCAAAGCCATCAGTGAACAAGGAGTTGTGCAGCCTGTAGGAGCCTTTCTGCTGGCGAAGGGGCCAAGTTCCAACCAAATCAGGAAACAATCCCAACACAAAGCCAGAAGCCCAAGCCCAGCAGTGCAGTGCTTTCGTGGGAGCAGGCTAGATTTCCAGTCCTGCTAGGGGTTCCTGGCAGACAAGCCTCCCTGCAGTACCTCTCCATGCTGAGCAACCCATTCTACACTGCAAAACCCACTCAGCCTCATCTGGGATCTGCAAATGAGAACAAAAGCTTTCAGGATAAACTCACGCTGCTTCCAGGGGCTGCTCTCAGTGCACGGTTCAGGCAGAATTCAGAACCTGCAAAGAAGAAGTCAGATTTGGTTAAAAAGAAGATGATGGTTAGTTCTAGGAAGGACAGCTACAGCTGTCACAAGAGGGTGCCTGCCTAGATCGAGTGCTGCATTTAGATTCCATACAGGTCTCCTTGCTCAAGATCGTGTTAGATGTCATTTTGCTCTCCAAGAGCCTGATGTGAAGGCCAGCTCTGTTCATTCCAGGATAAAAGCAAATATTTACTACGGCAGGGCTGCAGAGCCAACACACCTCCAAGAAGTGACACTGATCCCCTGGGCATGACCCAAATGTTCTCCTTTCAGGCCATCTGTACCACCCACTGTCATCCATCCCTCCGGCTTGTGGCATGGCCTCCACAGTGACACCAAGGGCAACATCTGGTCAGCAGGGCTTTGGCTGCAGGTGATGATGCAGGTCAGTGATGTGGGACGTACAGGAGGCAGCCCCACTCCCTCATCCATGGAGTCACTGGCACATCAGGAGGAAAATTAGCAGTTTGAACAGGAACAGCCCCATCCTGCAACAGCATTTTCAGGGCCACATTTTATATGACAACTGCATCTAACAGGGGAGAAGAATCTACCCAAGAGGCACTACAGTGACATGAAAGAGAAAGCACGGTCTCACAGCACAGCAGTGATAGCTCCCACTTTTCCAAGGGTTAATTTTCAAACATACTCGGACAGGCAAGGCCCAGCCTCCCACCAGTGCAGAAGCAAAGCAGGCAGGATGACCCACCTATGCAAATCTCCCACCTCTTCCATGGATTCAGAAAAATCCTTTCACTCTCCACAAGCAAACAACAGCTGTGTGTGGCCAGCAGCCTGCCCTGACACCAACCCACAGCAGCTTTCCCCAAGGAGGCACAAAACCTGCTCCACTTTCTGTATGGACCAAGTCTCCACACAGCACGGCAACACCAGCAACTGACCCGCTGCTGGGCAGCTCCCCCATCCCTACCAGATACACAAGGATCTGTGGAGCTCTCTCCCTCCTTTGGCACAGGCTCTGTGGCCCTGTTCCTTCTCTGTCAAGCCCAGCAACTTCTGTGGGTACTCTGTGCTGCTCCCAGGTTTGTAAGCTCAGCTTTCTTCCATCCTGGCTCAAGGGCGAGTCAATAGAAGCCAAGCAGAGATGGGCAGGCAGGTTCACAGCCAGGTACAAAAGCAGCCAGCTTTCCTCAAACCCAGAAAAAGAGGTATGGAACCTGGGGCTCCCAAGCCTGCACCCTGTTCCTCCTTCAAGGAAGGATGGAGGATGAAGCTGCCAAAGGCAGGGTAGTTGCACTCGACACTCCGCAACCTGCCTGTGTTGATGCTGTCAAACAAAGCCCCTGAGCTCTCCATCAGCCACTGACTGTGGTTTCCCTGCAGGAGCAACGTTCACTGGGGCTAACTGTATTATGGCAGGCTCCAAGCTATAGACATCAATTGGTATCATTAATGAAGTGTTCTGAGAATACAGGCAGCGGAAGCAAGACCTCCCCCAACCCTGCTCACTTCTGCCTGCAAACAGTAGCTCCCCGTCACACTCCTGCAAGAAAAAAAACCATGCTAGATTATATCCTGACCTCCTGCCACCCAGCTTTGCCAGCACCAGGTTCGAAAACATTCCATCGTGACCTGCATTGTCACAATATCATCATCACAATCATCCAGCCTGGTCCTGATGGGTCAGTGTGAGTGCTGGCTGGGGAACAGGCACTGGGACACAGCAGCAGCCAGATGAAGGCTCCAGTTTGCGCCCAGGGCAGAGCCCAGCTGGCATCATGGGCCAGCTCAGCTGCTGGCTGGGCTTAGGAGGGAGCCCTGCACTGGTCCAGCTCACTGAAATCTGGGTCAGCAAGTTGGCAACATGCTTATGGGTCCAACAAGGGACAAGGATTCGCACTGTCCCCTTCACATGAGCACCAAAACAGGAGCACGCACGGAGCAGGGAGTGCGGCAGCACATATGGAGAGCAGTCCAGCTGTGCACAGCTTTGCCCACTCAGCATCACAGTAGCTCAGTGAGCCGAGAGGGAACAGCCCAGTCAGCGCCCATCAGGAGAGGCCCACAGACCATACCACCATGGGCTTCCAGTATTCATTGCCCACACCCACAGCTAGCAGCAGCACACCAGGGCGAGACTGAGCTCCAAAGCTCTTGCAGTGATACTGAGGGGGCAGACACTGCCCCCAAAACACAGCATGGGCAGCTGCATCTTCTCTGCGTCCTGTGGTACTTCCCACAGTTACCTGGAGTCACCTGCATTTCTTACAGATGGGTCACAAATGAGACCAAGGTGACCAATAAGGATTTATAATTGTCCCATAGAATCATAGGCTGGAGCGAGTTGAAAGGGACCCTAAAGATCATCTTGTTCCACAGCCCTGCCATGGCCAGGGACACCTTCCACTAGATGGGGTTGCTCAAAGCCCAGTTCAACCTGGTCCTGGACACTTCCAGAGATGCCATGCTACCATACCATACCACTGGAAAGCATTCTTTGGTCCCCTGAAGAACAGTTCCAGTGATTTTGCAGAGGTAACAGCCCCTGCCTCACATAGGGGTGCACATATCCAGAGCCAGATCAGACCTCACAGGAGGTTTCTCTTGTTCTGGCCAGTTCACTCTGCAGGACCTTCATCTATCAGGACTTGCAGTAAATCTCCTAAAGGGAAACACTGCTGAGAATTCAGGATGGAATTTTCCCCCACCAAAGATCACCATCAACTTTAGGTTTGTATCCTTGTCGAAAATGGCACCTTCCCATAGCAAGCAGCAGACCCAGCTGTATAACCACCCCTCTCCCACCTTGAGACCTTTGCTACATCCCTGGCAGCACCATCAAAGCAAATCCCCAGAGCTCTATCAGGTACCACACCATCCTATGCTCCACAGGGCTTCTGCCAGCACAAGCACTGCCAGATCCATAACGCACCTAATTAGAACATCCAGTTGCTTCTCTTACGCATAGAGTAGTGCTTCCTGTAGGATCATTAAGGAGAAAAACCTGCAGGTGTCCTTCACCTGTGGCCACCTGGGTGATGGTTCCCTGTGGATGGGCCTGAGGAGGATGCAAAGGGCTGGTCCATCCCCCTCCTGCCCTGCAGCCAGCCTCCAGCCTGGCCTCGCTGCTGGCACTCGCCCTGACAAGTCCAATTAGCTGATTACAAAGGGGAATGTGTCATTTCAAACACACAATCAGATTTTCCGGCCCTTCTGCCCATAGCAAAATGTCTCGTGCAATGGTTCATTCTGCTCTCCCATAGAAAAGTGTTTCCCTGCAAAAGCCCGATACAAGGATAGGAGGCAAAAAAAGGAAAAGGCAAAGATAAAAATATCATCTGAAAGATACCACAACAGCAACAGATTCACAGGAAAATGAGGTGAGAAGGGGGCTGTGAATGTGTTAAGATCCTATTTAATCTCTCCCCAGCCACCTAAAAAGGCACCGAAGGCAGAAATGATACCTCAACATTTCCTTTGTGTGAGAGCTGACTCCACCCTGTGTTTTCCTCTCCATCTGATGCTCAGGGAAGGATACCAGCAGACATCTCTGCTGCTGCCAGGCAGCGAGGGGCCCCGGCAGTGGGTTAGTAGGAGCAGAGGGAGGAAGGAGTCGGTGGGAGGAACCTGGCAGCAGGGCTGGGCTGTGAATCCTCATTCAGCATCATCTCAGACGCAGGATGAGCTTTACACTAGCACAGCACCTGCTCCTGGTTTCTACCCCATTGCCAGTACCTTGCAAAGGAGCACTGAGACTGAGGAGGCATCAGGGACATCTCAGTGTACTGAGATGGCCACAAGGTCCAGTTATAGCTGGTGGGCAGAGGGCTGGTCTCTGAAAGGGGGATGGACCAACCTGCTACCACATTTCATCACTACAAAGAGGCCAAGTGCCCAAGCAAAACTGCTGACCTGCTGGCAGCTGCAGATCTGCAGCTTCAGCCTCATTTGTCTCGTGTTTTGAGCACAAAAGAATCAGCCCAGTATCCTCTTGGCACTGTGATCCTGCCGGATCTGGAATGCTGCGCACCCAGAGCCAGCTGCCCCCAGACACAGCAGCTCCCATACAGGGCAGACCCCGCCTGGGACACTGCTAAGCCCCTTGGGGAGCCAGGATTGCCCTACAGAGGACAAGAAACAGACCATCAGCAGAAGATGAAAAGAAAATCCTCTTCCAGAGCATTATAATCCAGATTTTAAGGCTCTGTCTGCTGCTCTCACCTCTGGAGAGTCTACATGAGCACATTCATGGGCGTGCACACACCAGGCAGGGTACTGTCAGCTGCATTCAGAGGCCCCTCAACTGTCTACTGGGACAAGCAGACATGAGAATTTGTACCAGATCACCCACATAGGGCTCTGGCATGTCTGACCCTTTCCACACAGTCCCACAGCTCCCCGCCTAGTGCAAGGAGAGCAAATTTTGACTCCTGTCCAGTCATACGAAACTTTAGCCCAACAGCTAGTCTCAGGATTAGATATTAGGGAGAAGTTCTTCCCTGTGAGGGTGGTGAGGCCCTGGCAAGGGTTGCCCAGAGAAGCCGTGGCTGCCCCATCCCCGGAAGCATCCAAGGCCAGGTTGGACAGGGCGTGGAGCAACCTGGTCTTGTGGAAGGTGTCCCTGCCCATGGCAGTGGGGTTGGAATGAGATGAGCTTTAAGGTCCCTTCCAACCCAAACCCCTGATTCTGTGCCACCACGCACCCCCAAACAGTTCACCTCCTTGGAGCAAGACAGAGCAGAGGGAGCAGCTGTCATCCAAGACAAAGGGATATCCATGGGGGCTGGGCCCAGCACCCTGCTCTGCACCAGGGACACACTGTGCAGACAGGAGATCTGCTGTGGAAAGCAGACACTGCTCCCATGGTGAAAGACATGGCTGCTCAGATCTCCTGCTCTTCACTTTAAGGCACATGTAGGTCCTGGACAATGCACAAGCATCTACCCAAGGGCTGGAAAGAGAGGAAGGATGGATCTGCAGGCTTAAGGAAATGTCTGCATCAAAGACAGTCCCCTTCTAACATCCCTTCCACCACCTGAAGTTCAGTCAAGGTGATGATGAAGGACTGGTACGGTCAGCATGGTGCCTCACCAGTAGCATGCACTGAAGTAGCGCAGGGCAGGGGCTGGAAAGGAGTCCCCAAAGGAGACTGTTCTCCAGCTTCCACAAACACATACAACTCCTTCCAGGCTCAAGCGACAGCATAAGCCAACAGTGACTGTGGGTCCAGGCTCAAACCTAATGTCCCCTGACAGAAGGAGAGAATCAGGGCCAGTCCCTTCACTAAGCACCTGCACAGATCTCCTCAGTGCAACCACCCCAGCTCTGACAAATCCAAACCTGCTGACTCAGAGCCACCGACTGCTGTAATGAGAACAATAAGGCACGCAGCCATCACTGTCACAGCCTCAGTGCAAGCGCAATTCAGGTGCCTGTATGAGAGTCAGGTATTTGTAGCTGCACAAGTCTCCCTGCACAGGAGCTTCCAGCACCCAAGGACTCGGGAACTGCCGCTGTTTTGTGTTTCTTCTTTGGCATCTCTGCTTAAAACAGAGCTCCAGGCTCAACTTAGACCTCCAAGTGACAGGCACCACATGAAAGTCTACTATACACAGGCCTTACAGCCGCCCACACTGCTCTGCGCAAAGCTTAAGCCCAATACTCAGCCATTTCTTCGCACACACTTGCTTCCCCATCGGCACTGCAGCTGTCGCTCCGGCACTGTAGCACTGTGCCCAAGGCAGCAGGGAAATATCCCAAGTCCATGGTCAAAGAGAATTAAGGCAAAGGACGCTCCAGTGATGTCTGAGAGTCTGAGCAGGAAGTTCAGACCAAGCCTGGGAACAGCCAAGCTCTCCCCCTGCTCTTTAAGAAATAGGTGGTTTCCTAATTTAAAAATCCTAATTAGTTATGGGAAAGACTTCTTCTTTTAGGGACAAAATTAGTCAGGCACCTGACTGGTCTGCCTGTCTCTGAAAGCTTCCTCTAGGAAAGCAGAAGTCCTCAGCAGTGCTGGAGCAAGGAGGAAGGCAGGCAGCCTGGAGTGATGTTACCCACAGGACAAGGGCTTGGTGCTGCCAGCAGAAAACCCAAAACATTACTCTGAATCAATGAGAGACCCAGCTCCTCACCAGGAGCAAGGTCATCACCCAGAGCTTATCAGGGAAATAACTGCCTGGGGGAACAAAATTGACTTCTATGATTTTTCTCATTCTACGCTGCAGTGATTCTTCAGCTGACCCGGCCACCCCTCTTGACCACACAGAAAATACACACCAGAAGACACTTACCCTGAAAGGTTGTTGTGGTGGTGGCAACTACGGCAGCAGCCCAGGAAAGGGGGCCCAGCATGCTCCGTCTCTGCACTGGACAGGGGATTTACCAAAACCTTTCCCTTCCACACACCAGGAACATGAGCTCTCTACTCCACTCATGTCTTTAGCCCAGAAAAACAACACGGGACTTCAAAACCCCTTTCTAGATGCTTCCTCCAAACCAAAACAGTGCCCCTAAGAGTTTTGGAAAATGCTCATTTCTCAGAAATTGATAAAAAGTCCTGTACAGTTCTAGGCACAGCATCAACAAGCAACCAAAGCAGCAAGAAGAACCCATCTCCTGCAGCCAAAGCCAGCTTACCCCAGCACAAACACAGGCTCTGTGCCCCACAGCCCTGCCCAGGGCTCTCCTGGAAACAGCAACTGCTGCCTTAATGGCAGCGTCACCAGCTGAAATCGCAGCTAAAGCAATTGACAGGGCACAGGGATGGTGCAAAGAGGAGAAGAGATAGGAATACTTCCTTCATAGCCGGGCTGCAGGGGGGAGGCGGCTCAAGTCCCCTCAAGGGACGGCTGCACCATGGTCCTTGACTCCAAACACAGAGATTTATCCCTGTGTCAGGAGGAACGCTCTGGACCTGCTGAGCGGTACAACAGCCAGGGCCAAGCTATGGCTTCCAGAACATGCCCTGCATCCCTGCACGCAACAGAGACAGGTCCTCATGGAGAGCACCCTGGGGAGCCCCCCCACAGACAGGCTTCCTGCCTACCAAACCAGACTCTAAAACAACAGAATTAAAGAGCAATTCCCTTCTTCAAGGACCATCACCCAAACCCAGCCAACCTTCCCTCAGTTCCAAACTCATGTGATGGCAACAAGGACACATAGCTGAAAGCCATCAGAGCAGCTCTCCAGCCATCACAGCCATGGTCCAAGGGGCCGGACACCAACAGTCCTCCTGTGGGACACAAAAGGATGCAGAGACTCCCCAGGAGCAGACCTTGGTAACAGTGTGCTTCCCACATCTCCAGTCGTTTGGAAGCAAAAATCCCTTTCGACAAGTCTAGTATGAGAAAGCTGGAGGAAAAGTGCCAGTTAAGTGCAGGAAGAGGCTGATGCATGGGCTGATCTCTCTGAGGATGCTGGAGAAGCCACACCTCATCCTCAGCAATGGAGAACCAGCTGATCAGGAATCACCTCACACCATCCACAGCTGAATCAAATACAGCTTTGCCATCGCCTGCAGCACATTGTGACTACCCAGCCACGAACACCCTGACCATTGTTTGCCCACAGGAGGGTTCCCCACCGTGACAGGCTGAGGGCTGGGCACGCCAGAGGGGAACAATACCCCGAGAAACAGCCAGAGAAAAAGAGATGGGAAATACAGAAACCACTGATGAGGAAAGGGCCACGCAGGTCTTCTAGTACGATCTCCCAGGCAACCAGCCTATGGAGAAAATGCTGAGCTCAAGGATACCTCTAGAGCCCACCTCCTGCCATATGACAATACTCCAAAAATAACTACAGAAATATGCAAGGACCCATTCCAAGTTGTTCCTGGCTCTCTCCAAATCTCCCTCTAATTTAAATCATCTCCCTCAAATCACAGGCCAGCAGTTCAATGTGTTACAGCAGCTCGGGGCTGCGGATCCCCAGGGCCGGCTCATCCTGCTCCGCGGACCCGGCAGTCTCTGCTGCTTCCCCGCACTCCGCTCTGCTCCTTGGCGGCTGGAAGCGCGGTCCTACCCCCACCCTATGCCATCGGACCCCCGTGGGGAGCCGCGCCCCTACGGAGACGGTGCGGGATGCACCGGTGCCGGAAAGGGGAGGCCCGGCTTGGAACAGCTTTCCCGGCGGTGGGGCTGCAGCCCTGTCCGCAACCTGCCCGCGTCTCCCCCGCAGGCACAGCACCGCACCTGGGGCTGCCCGGCCCCGCGCCCCCCGCACTCCTGCGGCTCACCTCTGCTCCGCCCGCTCCGTTCCGCCGCCGTCCACCGGCCGAGGCCCCGCGCCGCAGCGGCCGCTGCCCACACCCCTGCCCGGTCCTGCCCGCCCTGCCTGCCCTGCCCGCCGAGCGGCGGGAGCGGCGCAGCGCAGGGCGGGGCCACGGGCGGGGGGCGCCGCTGCGGAGGGGGCGGGACCGCCCCGCCCTCCCCGCCCCCGGCGCACCGGAGCCGCCCGCCTCAGAGCGGCTGGGGCTGCGGGCGCTGCGGGGATGGGCGGGGGTACTGCTCGTCTCCGACACTCTGGGAGCCGCCGAGGCAGTTCCCAGGGGCGCCTCGCGTGAGCCCCCGCCCACAGATAGGATCCCACAGAGGCACCTTGAGTCTCCTCACAGACCCCCCATCCCTGCAGAGCCTCCTTCTGCCACCCCCGCCCTCCCCTCGGGACCGGGCGCAGGACAGACGACGAGTTCTCCAGCTCCCAGGGGTTCCTGGTCCTTCCCGGAACATCACGGGAAGCCCATTTGCTGTGCACAGCCTATTTGGGGTGCACGCTCATACGCCAGGCCCTGGAGATCTTCACATCGTTGACTCATTGCACTTGTGCATTTTGGGAGTGTCAGGGCGAGCAGCGCCCCCGCAGGAGATGCGGATGGAACAGGGACACGAGCTCACCCACAGCACGGATGCACGGGGTGCATGGGCAGGATGCACATCGTAGATGCACTGGATGCAGGGATGCACTGTTGCACAGAATGGGTGCAGAGTGCACTGGATGCACAGCAGAGATACACTGGATGCACAGCAAGGAAGCAATGGGTGAGGGATGACTGGACGTACAACAGGGGTGTACTGGGTGCAGGGATGCTCTGGGTACACAGGGATGCACTGGATGCACAGCAGGGATGCCGTGGCCACTCTGCCATAGATGTAACAGGAGGAAGGAGTCTGGTTTTCTCATTCCCAGAGCTTGTGGCAAGTTCCAACTTGGTGTCCAGTGCCCTCTGCGCTTGTGCACCATGCAGGGCTCCCAGCAGCACATTATGCCCTGGACTGCCCTGCCGAGGCTTGGCTTTGCTCCATTACCTGACGACACACCTGCCCTCAGTGACTTTCCTGGTCCTCTGAGACTGGAAGGGTGCAGCTCTGTGTGGGACTCCAGGAGAAGCAGGTCTCCAGCAGCACAGAGGAGGTCAGGAGACTCTTCCCAGCAGGGAAGCTCCAACCTGGCTGCCTCTGCTTGTTCACTGTTGGCCTGGAGTGGCTTGTCATAGTGTGTCAGCATGCAGTCGCTTGTCTGATAGCAGTGGGTGCCAGGGCTCTGTGCCTGCTGCCTCTGGGTGTTGCTCCTCAGCTTCCTCCCCACCAGCCTTTGGAAAACCTGCCATTCCCACTCACACAGAGAGCCTGACCTCTCACCACCACGGCTGGGATGAAGTACTGGAACGAGGTGGGCTTTGTTTTGCTGCTTTAGAAAGTGCCTCCTTTATCAGCCACACTAAGGCTTTTTTCCTGACAAACCACATACCAGCAGAGAGTACCAGGAACAAAATGAGGCTGCATGGTTCACTGGTTCGAGGCAAGGCAGCGATGCCAGCAGGATTGTGGGCTCTAATCCCCTGCTGAGCTGTTGACTCACTGCACAAACTCAGGCAGGTCCTGCCGCTTTGTCCTGCGGAGAAGCCCAGCTGGAAAGTTGGGTAAATAGCAGGAATCTCTTGGAAAAAAACCCACCCCACTGCATGGGACCCAACTTGAGGGAGGGCATTCATTTAAAATAAATGATATTTTAGCTGTCTGCTGGGATCCCTCATGCAGGCATGGCTTTTCTCTCCGGCCCTTCACTGCTGCGGATCTTTCAGGAGCAATGCTGAAGAGGTGCTTTACCTGCTGCCGAGGTGACTGTGCTGCAAGGGACATCATGTGCCGCAGAGGATATGGCTGGTGTATGTATGACAGTGTGTAGTGCACTGAATTTATAGGAAACTTATACAGGAGAAAAGCTGCACTGTATTGTTGATAAAAACAGTTACAACTGTAGGTGTGTGCAGGCTGCTGTGAGTGTCTGTGTTCATCGTTTAGGCCTTCAAAGGGAAAGTAATGATGGCTGCTCAGGAGGTTCTGTCATTCTCCAAAGGAAAATCTAGGAAATGTAAATGTTAAATTCCATTTTAAGTGAATTTAGTCAAATAAGTCAGTGGGTGACCACACTGTCAGAGTTCTGAGCACAGATATCCTTGGTATCCCTGCCTGCCACAGAGAACATTCCCCTTGGGAAGCCAAGGAGCTGGAAGAAGAACATATAGAACAAATTTCCCCAGTGAATCCTTCACTCTCTTCTTACACTGGTGCAAACAGCCCAGCCTGAACTGTTTTCCCATTAGCACCAAGCTGAAGCCTGAAACTCTCCAACAGTCATGAAGACATGGAAAATGCAATCCATGCACATACCTGGCTGCACAGCCCTCGGTCCCCTGAGATGAGGGAAAGAGCTTCAGTGGCAAAATAATCCCCTGTGAGCTATTGGTCACCCCAGCTGTGCTGGACTCTCTCTTGGCTATTCAATAACAGAAAAATGACCTTTCCTGCATCCTTGTCAAATTCTTGTGTCTGTCATAGGAGCAATGGAGATACCTTCTCTGGTCACACATGGCAGATGGAGTGGTGGGGAGGGGACAGAAAGCCTAGTTTTTCCCCCCAGAAAACACTGACGAAGTGTAAACTTTACAAGGTTTTCAAGAGCTTAACTGAAATTTTAAAGAAATTTAAAGGAGCTATCGTTTGTTCAGTTGTGGTTTTTTTCAGCTATATCAGATACATTTCCAGAAAACGCAGTTGTTTTAAACCCCAAATATAGCTGTCATGCAGCTGGGTGGAACTGGCCCTCTGCCTGTCCATCAGACAGTGGGGACCTTGGGTGCCCAGTGGTGCACAAGGGAAACCTTTGAGCCTTGTGCAACAGCAGTGTGAACGGAGGAAGCTGTAAGCCCTGGGAAGCTCTATGGAAAACCTTTCTTCTCTTGGGAGTCAGGTGGTTTTTGGAACCCAAGTGAGGATGTCCTGACCAGATTCCCATTGTCCAGCAGAATCAACTTGAAACAGCATAAGAACACACAAATAAATGAGGACCAGCATAAATTACAAAGACTGGCAGGTGTTTTATGGTTGGACATGAGACTTTTGCCAGATTTTTGGCAGTCCAGAAAGCCAGCTGCATCCTGAGCTGCATCAGAAGGGAAGTGGGCAGCAGGGAGAGGGAGGGGATTTTGGCCCTCTGCTTCACTCAGGTGAGACCCCCCCTGCAGTGCTGCCTCGAGCTCTGGGACTCCTAGAGCAGGAATGTCATGGAGCCGTTGTAGTGAGTCCAGAGGACCCCATGGGGATGCTCCAAGGGCTAGAGCCCCTCTGCCCTGGAGACAGATTGGTAATGCTAGGGATGTTCAGCCTAGAGAAGAGAAGGCTGTGGGGAGACCTCAGAGTCCCTTCCAGTGGTTTAGGCTCATAAAAATGAGAGAGAGCAGATTTATACACAGGCAGATGGTGACAGGATGAGAGGAAATGGTTTTAAATTAAAAGAGCAGAGATTTAGGTTGGATGTTAGGAAGGAATTCTTCCCTTTGGGGGGGGGGGGAGGGGCAGGGCCCCACCACCAGAGAAGCTGTGGCTGCCCCATCCCTGGAACAGGCCTCCAAGGCCAGACTTGGAGCAACCCAGTTTAGTGGAAGGTGTCCCTGCCCATGGTAGGGGACTGGGACTGGATGGTCTTTCCAATCCAAACCATTCTGGAATTCTATGATCCTATCTCCTTGAGAACTTCCAAGCTCTTTTATTCCAGCAAGTTTTCCCCTCTGCAGTGACTTTGTTTGGCTTTATGGGATGGAAAGCAAAGACAATCAGCACATCCTCGAGTAGTACCTCTGGAATGTATTTCTAGATGGAAAACTGCTCTCCCTTGAAGAAGATAGATAAGAGGGGTGCAGCTATGGAAAGGAAACCTCCTCTAAGGAAGACCACCTTGGATCTCCACCTTTCAAGCCCACGCAAACTGTTAATCAGCCCTTGCAATCTTGGTGTTGAAGAAGCCCATCTCCAGTTATTAGCCATCACTACTAAGGATTCTTCATCAAACTGACAGACATGGGGATGCAGCAAAAGCTGACGTGGGTCTGTGTTCTTCCTCACTGCCAGTGCCAGGTAAAGGTGCAAATATGTGCGCTGGGGCAGGAGGTGCTGCCTGGCACAGGGCTCCAGAGCTGCCTGTGAGCCAGAGCTCAGACTCTGCAGAGGTGCTGGGGGCACCCAAAGCCTTTATTCCATGAAGCCTAGCAGCATGGAAAAAGGGGTGCGCATATCTGTGCACTTTTGGGAGCAGGTTATTTTGGGAATCCCCGCCTGAGCTGCTGCTAGTGCTGATGCTCTGTGATAACAACCTTTCATGCCTCTTGCTTGTTTATGCAGGGAATGAAAAGGCTCTTTGTGCAGCTTCGGACTCTGGCTGCCAGCTGGTATAAGTGAGACACTCCCTGTGTGCTCCTCGGCTCCATCCCTCCTGGCAAAACTGGGCCCAGAGGGAGGCATGGGGGTGCCCATGGGGTCAGGAGGGCTGCCGAAATTGGCACACTGCAGGAGAGGAAGCACAGTTCCTCTCCTCCAGCTACTGGGCTCCTTCTGCCCTTCACATGCTTTGGGTGCTGGGAGCACAGTGGTGAGCTCAGTCAAATGTTTCCATCCAAAGAAAACATTTCCAGCTCTTGGTGTCATCTTCCTCCAGGCTGTTTGAGTGGACTCCCAAGCTCAAAGAAGTCCCTGGGACTGAGATGTCATCAGAGACTGTCACCAGGTCTGATAATGAAGCCCTTATTGTCCCTTCATGTCTGGACCCCTGAAGTCTTGGGGGATGAGCAGGCCTCCCACTGCCTTCATCCTCTGCTTCCCAAGGGTTCCCAAGGACCTATTCAGGAAATGCTATCAGTGCCTGCCGGCCTTCGGACAGTTGGGATACTGCATAGTTAGTTATGCATGTGGTGGAAAAACAGGGATAAAAGGGGCAAAAAATGCATTTTTTAATTATTCAAAGAGATTAATGACCTGTGTCACAGTTAGGACACATGCTACCTGCTGCCTTGTG